CTTGTGTACATTGAAAGGGCGCTAGGAAGCTCTCTGTCCCTGTATTTGTAGTCACAAGTGCTGTGCTATTTTCCACCACCTAACAGTGAGACCAGTTAATTTAATGACTTTGATTTTAGGGAAATTTGTCAGGTTTTGTCGGGGAATGAGATGCAATTTGGCGTATGGGTTTGAAATGCATGAGGCAGTGTTGAAGGCTGGGCTAAAGCAAACAAGTCATTCCAGTGGTACTGATTTGTACATCTGATTAGCTTGTTAAAAGTTTGGGTGTTACTCAGTTCCTACTAAACTTGGGTGATTGACATTTATTAGCCAGATCATTCAAAGCCTCATATCTTTTCATGATAATCCTGGAAGACTTCAAATGATCATTGTGACAGATAAAAGAACATTTTTTTCAAGCCTTTTCTAAAGTATTAAAGCAAAGCAGACTCTCCCTAAAGGCCATCTATATTTATTTTCCTGGGTAAAGCTTCTAGCTTTGCAGAAAAACAACAAGCTGGAGGGAACATCATTATTACTTGGCTAAAGATGATGGCATTGACATGAGGTCATCTGATAGAGGATTAAAGTGGAAAAATATTGCTGGCAATCTGTTAAGAACAAGAGGATCCATTTGAAAGAAGGAATCAGGTGTAAACCACAAAAAGTTGATTTGCTTCTGTGTTTTTTCTTTGGTTGTTAAACTCTTCTCATTCTTGCTGTCATTTTTAAATACCGGGTTTCACGTGCAGACTGGGAGGAGAGCCAGTTCTATTCCAAAATAGATGCTTCAGCTGGGATGCTGCTCCATATCATCTAGTTGCCTTTTAAAAGACAACTGGTTGTTGCATAAGGTCTCAAATCTAGTCCAGTATATTTCAATCTGCCCTGTTTTCATCAAATTTGACCACCATTGGCACTGATGATAGATTGCTGGTCTCCTTGAGGTTGGTCAGTGGCCATTGTGCTGTTGCTTGTACGCTGATGCTCATGTTTCTGTAACTGTGGAAAAAAAAATATTGTCTGCTGACAGTCTCTGCTAAAGTGCCATTATTGGATGAGTCTAAATGACTTTTTACTTGAAAATGTCTGTGGCGCGTAGGAGCAGAAAATATAGGCAATCACTCTATCTGTTTTTTTAGTGATGATGAAGAGGAGACAACATGAAGACAAAATTCTCTTAGATTTGCTTGATGGTAGAAACTAGAATATTTAAGTAAATGTCAAATAACTGGAAGTTTATGCTTTAGGCCTTGAGAGTTTGTCAACATTGAAAGTTGTGCCTCCTCATAATCTTACGATAAATACCATAGTCTGTGTCCAGTGGTTTCCAGGAGTCTGATGAGTGAGTTAGCAATAATGAGTCAAACCTATCTGGTATGAATGAGGTATATATCGCATAGTGGAAATCATGACTGACAGCTCTGCTTCCAGCTCATGGGGTCTTACCTGCAAACCATTCATGAAAGTGGAGAATCACTATGGGATGTGAAGGATCCTGGTGTGTGGATATGGCCAGCATCAGCCAGTTTTCAGTAACAGGATCCATTCAGGTTGAAATGGCTTTTACCTCTATGCTAGTAGATTTGTTTGAAGAAAGACCCTTGGATTTCATTCTGTCAGGGCTCAGTCCTACCTGCTGCTACCTGCTCTCAGTGAAGATTATGCTCTTTGGCCTTAAAGCTTGCTCATCTCCTCCCTGAGAGAGGATGTGTTGATCCTGGGAGCATAATGATCTTGAAATGCCTGCTTCAGCATGTGATACCTATGAGAACATCAAAACATTTATTATATAATACAGAAAAGGCTTGCTCACCTATGGTGGGCTCTAATGGTTTTATCAGATGTCTCTCTTTAATTTCAGTTGATGGTCAGCTCTCAGATGCTCATTGCGTAGGGCTCTCTAATGTCTTTGCTTGTTTTTCTGTTCTTTGCTTTTTTGACAGCTTTTTTCTGAGTATAGTCTTTAAACTCTTGCATTAAATGAAATGTATTCCTTCCCACAGACTTTTCTTGGAATCTGCGTGGTATGTGTTGTATGAATGTATGTGACCATACACGCCTTCTTCCATCCCTTTCTCTTTGAGCTCTGACTGTATTTGCTCAAGCTCAGTAGTACTTTCAGCTTCTAAAATGAAAATCCTGTTGAAAAGAAATCAATTTAAGAAAAAAATCAGCATTTCCATCCCACAGTGTATGCTGAGCAACTGGTGCTTATATTTCCATTAAAGTAGACCTACAGATGACTTGATGGGCTCCTGTATTTTCTGTTGCATTGCCATGGGCAATACTCAGGTTGCTTAAGGAATTAGAGGCTGAAATTTTGCTTCAAGCTCTGTAGATGTCTTCTATGATCCCACCACCCCTATGAAATTTTGTTCACTTGCAAATCAAGAAAGTAGTTTTTGCCTAGCAACAAGCGTTGTGGTTTCTACCTGAGGATCAAAAACAGAAGTGCATTTGTTCAGCCTTTTGCGTCACTTCGGTACTGAAGGTTTTGTCAGTCAAATCATCACTGACGTTTCTGTTGATGCGCAAGGAAAAGAATAATCCAGTGTGTTTTTCCATAGCAGTGCTGTCACTGCAGCACTGACAATAGTAAAAAGTGCATTCATCACCGAATAACCAGATATTCTGGAAACATAAATGTCTCATTTTTAAAGGCTGTTTTCTGACTGATTCCTTTTTGCTATTTATACTCGCCCAGAAATATTTTATAGAAACCTGAGTCCCTTTAAAAACCCACCCAAACAACCAGAAGTACGTATTGTAGTATGTAAATGATTAGTCATCACTTGTAAATTGCCTAATGTAGGAGGAGGAAATCTATATTAAGGGAAGGTGGAGAGCTCGATTTGACTGCTATATTTCTCACTTCTTCTCTTCTTTTTATTTCCCAGAAGATAATAAGGAGGGATTTCTTTAAAAAATCATCCTAAGAGACTGTCATTGCAGGTTTGAGGGTTGTAGCTGCACGTTATAAGATTATTTTCCACTTGCTTATGCATTCTTGGGAAAATCTATGGATAGGTTTTGTTGTTTTAATTTAGGATTCTATTGTCTTCTTGTACATTGACAATGAAAAATGATGTTGGCTTCAGAGACCTTAAATGTAACAATATGGAGAACTCATTTTATGAAGAAATATGTATTTGGTAAAGCATGATAAAATGATGTTGAGCATCTGTGGCACAAGACCAAGTCTTGGCAGATCTCTTTGCTTGCTGTATATGATACCTTTGGTTGGGTTGGTTTGTTGTTTGTTTTTGCTCTGTTTGTTTGTTTTATGAATAGTTAATTCACGACACACGGTCACACTGAATTTTTATTTTTTGTGTGTGTGTCCTGATTTTGGTACAGATATCTGTCTCTCTGTTTGTTTTGGAGGGTTTTGATTGCAATGGTCTATTCCCTGGCTGGCTGTTTTCCAGGCGAAACTTTAATGCACCCTACTTCCTTAGGATTTTTGTTTTGTGATTGGCTTTGGTTGATTTTTCTTTTTTCACCCCTTTCTCTTTTGGTAGTGTGATGGAAAATGGTTATGAGGAAAGGATATTCAGTCAGTGGTTTATTCACTCTTTGCTTTCTGAGCACTGTCTCCATGAAATACTTTTGCATGTGCTTGAGTGCTTGGGCATAGTTTTCCATGTTGTTCCTCCATTCCCATTGTGATCTTATGTTTGTAATAAGCGAAAATTTCAAAAAAAGTCCTGCAAGAAATACCAAAAAGCTAGTGGGAAGACTTATTTTTTGTGACTCTGTACAAATTATTAAGTGGTTTTAGAAAAAGAAATATTGTTATGTATATAAATTTGCAGGATGGCAGTGGTAATTTACAGTACTGCCTGCTGGTCTCCACTGTGCACCGGAGCTCCCAGAGAGAGCAGGACTTGATTTTTTTTTGAAAAGCTAAATTCCATTTCTGGCACGTCAAATCCAGCTTTTTTCACACGGTGAGTTCCAGTGCACATGCTGTACAGCAATTGCAGTCGTGCACAGTGTAACACATACCGCAGAAAGAGGGAGTCTAACAACGTGAGATGATTTTCAGGTTTTTTGATTTTATTGTTGTCTATTTTTCTCCTCATCTCCCCTCCCCCCGAATAGAATGATTCGTGCTTCATATTTGCTGTTTTTGTGTGCCTGCACTGATTGCTTCAACTGTGACTCACATGCAAGCCTTGAGAAGAGGTGCCTGTTGTATCAAGACGGTTCAGCACGTGGCCATGGCTTGTAAATCAGTCCGACTCATCCTAAAATGCTCGTTTTCTGTTAAATCAGCTATTCAGCTGGCAAACACAGTCTTGATGAACAGCATAAATTGCATTGCTGAGGCAACTATCTTTAGGTTTATTTTTCCAAGCCGTAACCTGGAGGTCTGCTTTTCCCTTCTCTCACAGTACCTCAAATGAAAGTTTGTCTGGTGGCTGTTGTTCAAAGAATAGGATTTTTTCCTTCTCCTCCTCCTCCCATTCTGGATCATTTCAGCTTTTATTTGGCTTATTAAATGAACATCTCTATTCACTACCCTAGTAAAGCAGGTCACTCTCTAAAAGTACCCACCTAACTTCTTTTCCAATAGTGTTTGACTACTGAAATTTTAATTGGAGCAGAAACCATAGTTAAAGAGTAGGAAAATCATTTTTCCTCATACTCTTATTGATTTCTGTTGAAGCAAACAGATGAGCTTATATATAAATATGTATATATGCCTTTTTTTTAATGAAAAGTGCTGGAATTCACTAAAAAAGGTTAAAATTGAAATGAGTAATCTTCAGCGCATAATGCAATTGTTAATTTTAGCTCCTTGCGTAGGAGCTGTTATGACTTGAACAGCCGGCTCTAGCCTTCATTAGAGAAGAAGCAGGCAGTTTTGAGACAGGTGGAGCTGGATCAAGCTGTGAAAGTGATTTGCTTGAAGCTGGTCATTAGTGTTAGAAAGCTGGTCCTATCTATTACATCCTTACCTTGTGCCATGATCATTACCGATGTTGTTATTTACTTTTCGTCTTTTCCAGGTTGACTATGGTGCATCAAGCTCTCTGAAGGACCAGAATGGAGATTGGCCCTCTGAACTGTTAATGGGGACATGGGACTCACGTTGTCGTTGATAATTTGTGTGGACTTAACCAGCAAAGAGCAACAGAAGACACGAGAAAGACAGTGGGAATTATAGCAGTTTTTCAGGTAAATGGCTTCTTTCGTGCAGCTCATGTGACTAATTGTTTTTCTGAACACTGTGTAAGCATGTCAATGAGCTGCAAGTTCATGAAGAGTGTGTGCATTTCTTGATGAAAATCTTAACAAATTAAGGATTATTTAACAGCCCAGTTAAAGGTCTTGCCACACATCGTGTTCTGAATTTTCATTAAGTGGTTCAAGTTTCAATTGTAACTGTAGAATAGCCAGTATCATCAACCCTCTTGGGGAGAGTGGTGGAAGGAAGGTGAATACCTTGAAGCTTGACTTGTTGTACTGTGAGCTAATTTGTGAGTTTCAGATTCCAGTCAGTTTGTTTGTGAACCATGTGGCTTCATTTCTTGTGAATCCACAGTCCTTCTTTAACAGGGAGATTATATAGGAAGTTTCATTTGCTTATAGTGTGAAAACAAAAGCAAAAACTGGAAAAAGTATGTCTTAGTTTTTTTTCATTTAAAACATAGCTTAAAAAAAAGTAGAGGTAAGTGATACCAGATCTGTTGAATGTTTAATTTCAAACTGTAAAAAAAACCATGGCAAAGTGTGATTTTGCTTAATAGCCGCTGTTTCATTGTTGAGAAATGGCAAGGTTTTGCAAAAGACCCTTTCTGAAATAACTCCGTTTTTCATCCACAGTTGTTTTTCCTGAAGATGCTTCTTAAGCCAAATGGACGGAGAAAGAAAAGTTAAATTATTCATGAGTCTGATTTGACAATTGATCAGTGGGAGAGGCTTCAAGAGAGAGGTGGGGGGGGGAGAGAGAGAGAGAAAAAGAGAGAGAAAATAATAATAGGCTTTAACTTTGAAAAGCCTTTAAAGCTTCTGTACAACAACCTGTTGTGAGCTGAGAGTAAATGCAGTTCGGTTAAGATATCGTCATTAGAAGTACCTGCCAAGAGCTTCCTGTAGGATTTTCATAGTACTGGAGAATGATATGGAGTTTGGGAAGAGGATTAGGGTTTTAATAATGGAGCTGTTGGTTTGATCCCTGAAAATGTTGACCCTGGGAACTTTATAGTCAAATTTAGATTTCATATTTATCTTGAATGATTAGGTCTTAATTTATATATATATATATATATATATTTAAAGTGGTAATGAGCACCATGGCTTCTGCTATGCATGAAACTCATGTTTGAGTGCTAAAAAGTGTTGTTGCTCACGCTTAGTTTTTATTTGTATTTGTTTGGCTATTATCTTTTATTAAAGAAAAAAAATGGAAAAAAGATTAGGGGAGGGGAGCACTGAGGTGCCATACACCTAGAAGTCTGAATGGGTCCTTCCTGCTTAATGCCACTGAGCTCTGTAGCAGAGTGCCTCACTCTCCCTGCGTGCACCTTGGCAGTCCTGGGGCTGGGCTGGGTAGTCACAGCACCTTACCTTATCTGCTCTGCACAAAGACTGTTTAATTGGAGATCTGCTTGCTTAACCTGGCACAATTCTGCTGTTACCCAATATTATGGATTTAGTGCGTCTCTTCAGCTGGGACGTACATAGTTTTGCACTCCTGAGCTGCACAGTTTAGTTTTTTTTATAAAGGAAATGCAACTGGGAAATAAAAAAAAAAATTCACCCCCTGTGGTTTTTTTTTTTGTGTGTGTGTGTTTGTGTCGTGATAACATGACCTTTCAGGTCACCAAATCTTGTTATTTTAATTTCTGTCTGGAAGAATGTCTGAGCAAGGTAAATTGAACCAGGAGACAGCAGAGGAAGCTGCAAAAGAGCAGGAGACTGCCATCTCCGAAGCCAATCCGGACAACTGTATTCTTAATAAATCTGAAAGCTCAGAAGTAGAGGAGAAGGAGGAGAAGCTCAGCGATTCCAAGACAGAGCTGCAGGTAAGACAGGAATAGTGAATGGGCATGTTAAAATATCAATGTGATACCATTGCTTTTCCATTTCTGCGATTTCTTTCATTGCCTACACTTCCCTTATTTTTTCTCTTATGATTTTGAGACCGTTTCTGTTTTTCCTTTTGAAATTATTTATTTATTTGTTTTTATTTTGGGTTCTTTTTTTTTTGCTATAAAATGCTGTTATTTGTTATACTTTTCAAGCTCTTTAGGCTGCTGTCCCTGTTATTACTTTTTCTGAGAAGTTTATTTCTAGACATCTGTGTTAAAACTTCGTGAAATATTTGACTGTTTTACCTCGTTAGGATTTAGAAAACTACCTTAATCTCATGAATTTACAGGTAATACTAATGAATAACTACTTAATATGTGGTTTGGTTTGTAGGTGTTACTGCCAACACAAAGTTGTTATGCAAAACCTAAGAAGGTAATTTGATAAGAAGCCTTTATCAGATGAGGGGGCTTTAATCCTTTTTGCTCAATCAAATATAAAGGGGGACTCTACAATTTAAGAGGAATTTGGAGAGGGGGAGTATTTACTTAAGTATACCTCTTCTTACCTTGTTGTTATATCCAAAATTGCAGAACACTGTGCAGTGTATTTTCTCTTGTTTATACCTGTTCATAAAATGAATAATTATAAGCAGAGATGATTCTTGATTTTCCCTGCTTTCCAAACAGGGTTTGAGGAAGTTGCTTTTGCAGTCAGAAACTGATTTAAAATGTCATTTAGAAGTGATTGAGTCTATATGTTGGTAATGCTCTTGTCATGCCAATTTTCCACTGAAGTGATAACTGCTTCTCTTTTTTTGCTATACCCAGAAACGAGGTGCAAATCAGCAGAAAAAGAGATCCAAGGTAAGGGTCTATCTCTGTGTGGAATTGCATGCCACAGCAGGATGAAGAATTTCAATTAAATGTCTGCCTGCAATTGAAATGGTAGCCTTTCTTGTGTGGTGATTGGTTTTCTGTTTATGTTGTGGGTTTTTTCCTACCCCTTACCCCATATTCTCGTTGCACAAAGGCAGACAACTGCCTCTAAATATAATGTGTCAGACTGCCCTTTATCCATCATACTTTTATGCTGCTGGGCTTGCTGTGTGCCTGTGTTAGACAGCATGTGTGCTTCTGTGCACCACTGGAGAAGGAAAAGTTACATTCCTTTTGCTTTAGTAATTAATGTTTCTCTTAGAATTTTATTTTAATGGACTAGTCTTGACAGAAGGAAGCAGAGATGGTTGAGTTCCCTAAGGGAAGAAGAGGGTGGGGGGAGGGATGGGAAGGAGCAGCTAGGAACAAATGAAACCCTAAAACTTCTTTTAATTTTTCAAGTGCAGATCCATAACACCTGCACATTTTATTGTCCGTGTTCCTTGGATATAGTACTACTAGAAGAAAGGAAGGGACCCTCAAAAAAAAAAAAAAAAAACCAAAAAAACCCCCAAAAAACCCAAACCATATGACAAAAGGAACCTTTGAGTTTATGTTAAATTACCTTCAGTATTGGATTATCCGTTCTTTGCAGTTACAATTTTTGGTGGAAGTGAGTGAACTGTAGCAGAAATGATTAAAAGGAAAAAAAGAAACCTTTCACCTTCCCCGTGGCAAATGGGTCGCTGCTTAGAATCCTCTTCTATCCACATTGAAGGCAGATACATTACGGGGTGGTTAGTTGTTATTTGGGATATTTGGGTAGATATTTGGGCAGATTATGTGACTTGGGGTCAGTAGTAGTGCTTTCTGTTTTGTTTTCTCTGTCTCTTATTCAGTCAGGAGCTAAAGGAAAACTTGTCCGGAGTCTTGCTGTGTGTGAGGAGTCGTCCCCTCGTCAGGGAGCAGAAAATCTTCATGATAATCAGGTACATTTGCAGTCATTGCTGTTAGCTGCATGGTTGACCTCCATCTTCAGTTGCATGGTTGTGTTATTTAATTGGGCATTTAACAGTGTCTTTCTTGGGGGAAAAATTACATCCAACAGTGAACATGTTTTTATGGAGTTGTCTGGTTTAGCGTGAACTTTATTTTGAAATATTAGTTTTATACTATATCACAGGGTGTTGTTTGCTTTTTTTTCCAGACCCCCTGAAAATTTCAGCAAATGGAAAAGAATTCAAAAGTATTCAGATATTAAAATTTTTAAAAAATAGTAACAATCAAAAAGAATATTAATATGTTCTTGTCTCTAAGGCTATCTCTTTCGAGGCTGCACCAAATACAGTTATGAATATGCTCTGGTTTCTGGTTCCTCTAAGACTCCAGTTCATATCAGTGTGCCCATTCACATAAAATTCAAATGTCCTTTGCTCTCTAAAATACTTTGATAGAGCCAAGGATGCTTCCTACTGAGTGGCATTCATTTTCTAAACTCTTGATGTAAATTATCCTCTATCAAAAAGTGTGTATTTGAGTTTATCTGTACTGGTAGTGTTGTATTCCCAGCAGCTGGTAGAGTTCTGTCCTCTGCACCCCTCACCTTGGACAATAACACTGGTGGCAGTCTTTGTAGACTAACTTCAAAAAGTACTGCAAAAAGCAAAAATTAAGCCTCAGTTACTCCTCTTTGCTTGCCTAGTGAGAGCAAGGCTTAAAAAACCCCAACTAACCTAAACCGAAAATATCGTGAATACTGCCTATAATTTATGAGATGTTTATGTACAGTTGAGACTGGCTATCAAGAGAGCTTGAGCAAGTGGCTTCTTGTGAGCTTAGCACAAAAAAAAAAAAAAAGACATTTAAGTGTACTTTCTCACTGTTTCCTCTATTGACTTGAAATGAAACATCTTTCTCTCCTCTTAGCTCATAAGTAAGGAGAGGTTTTTCTATTTTTTTAATTTTTTTTGAAAGACCAAAAACCAAATTGTTTAGCAGCGGGACATCTACATGTTCTACTGCTCTACAATGATGCTTATGCAGTAGATGAGCAGGTTATTTTATCAGTTGTTCTGTTGTAGGTAGGATGCTTTTTGCTTGACTTGCGTTACTCAAAATGCGTGGCTTTTGTTCTGATTTTATTTGTATTTTCTATTGTTTAATGGAGAATGAAAAGGAGAACAATATAAAGAGATTGTATTAAGCATTGCTGGTAGTTTATAATGTACTGCACAGGACCTGTACTAAATGTCAGAGAGACTGGCAGGTGTTGAGGCAAAATCCCTCCTCCTTACACCAGGCAGAGGAGGAGTTCCTGTTACACACAGCCTCTGATCCTACTTGACTGACCAGCTGTGGCAAAGATTTCTTTGACTGTCTTAAAATATTTATGGGAGATGAAATGTCTCCCTTGACCCCAGCATCTGTTTCCTAAAGGCACAATTGGCTTGGTGTAATTAATTTGATAGGAATTGCCCTTTTGCTCTCACTGACCTTTTACTAATGAATGTGGCTCAGCTTTGCCATGGAAAGCTGGACCTGCAGGCTCCTCCTTGGGCTGGCTGAAGGATACAGGAAGTTTTATGCCAACCAAATTCCTTTGCTTTCACGTTAGAGGAGAAATAGCTTATTTTTTGGTTTGGAATTATTTTTTTAAAATTTTTAAAGTATTATTTTATCTTAATGGTTTACAAACCACAGGGAATTAATTACCAGAGAATGTACGGTACATTGCCAGAACTACTGAGTATGGATTGTACTGCAGACTTGATGTTTGTATTTATATTTGGATACTTGCCTTCATTTTCCTGTATAAGGAAAAAAATTGTTTACCTGTATTACTTGATCTTGAATGCTTACCTGATGGTTCGCTGTGTCCTTACTTAAAAGAAATGTTGCCTTTAATGTTATACTATTGACCAAGAAGTGTATTATTGGAATTTGATTATTTATTTTGTTGTTCTCTATACTTGTATCAATGTATTTATTAACATTGTATTTTACTATTGAGAAAAATCAATAAAAAATCTAAGAAAATATACAGTAGCTTGCTTTCACGACTCTACAGCCCTTCTGTGTGTTTCTTCTAGTGCGGATACATCACTATTACATTACATGTAAAACAGTATCTACTGTATCTTCATACGTGTGCTGTGTTCATATGATTGTAAAGTCCATCATTTTCATATGTGCATTTTTAAGAACCACTGTGAAGCTTAGTATTAATATCCTGGGAACAGCATGGCCAGTTACATTTTTCTCCTGTTGAAAAGCTAGCAGCACAAGTCGCTCTGCTTCTGGCAGTGCCTGGAATCAAGAATTATCCTTTGGGATCATTTAGTAGTGGTTGATCCAAACTTTGTTGTTTGAAGAGAAATTGAACTGCCATTTGAAGTGAAAGAAAGTAGGCATAGCGATAGTCTTCTGAGCACAACTGAGCAGGTTAGGAAACATTTTTCTATGAAGCCTTACCTCAAATGACCAGGAATCCCTCGTTAGGCTCAATTTCTGGCTAATACTGTCAGCCAAAACTAACGGAAGTAGGGACTAAGGATGGTAGGTCAGGTTAAATTTTGAGTCCAGGGTTTTGTTTCTCTTTTACAATGCTTTTCATCTCAAGTCTTTTGTGCAACGTTCAAACTTCACAAAAAGTCAATAATGATTCAGCTGAGAAGTTACCAATTTCTGTCTTACTGTGACATGTTTATGCTGATATCCCGTTCTGTTAGGAGCTTGTCTTACATGTATTGTGATGGCTGATTTGTAGTTCTTTAAAGAATTCAGAAACTTAAAATTTGTAATAATTACTGGAAGCATTTTTTGAATTCATAATGGTCTGGTTGTTTAAAAAACCACCCCTTTAATGTTTTCTATTACTCTTTTGGTATGCTAGTATACTTTGAAAAATTGTGAAGGAAGGGAATTTACTAGCATTCAAGAAACTCCAATTTTCTCCAGTATTGGTGATATAGGTTTTTATTAACATAATGCCAAAAAATTACCAGGCATGCAGGACTCTCTTCTATTAAAGAAAACCTCTTTACCAGGGAGTTTTGTGACAGCTTACTTCAAACATGCTTTTTTTACACTACTTAATCATATAGTATTACTTGGAGCACTTTTGTTTTTCTTTAAAAGAATAAAACACAGAAGTATGCTTCCTTCAATTTTGTCCAACCAGTTTAAGATTTCTTGAAATGTGTAGATTGTGCCATGGTAACTTCAAAAGAAAACAATTTGAGTTTTGTTAAAACAAAGCTGGTATAAAGTAATATTGTGAGGAGGGAAAAACAAGTTCTTTAAGGAAAATCAGAAAATGCAAACCAGCTTGAATTCTGAGTTTTAATTAACTTTTAAAAGCTGAAGCATGCTTTCAAAGGGACTCATAGTCTCTGAAATACTGACTTTTTGAGGATAAAACTCATGATGCCTTAAAGAAGTTCACTTACTATAACGTGCTTGAAAGATCACAGTGCACATTTCACCTCTTTTGCTAAAGGCACATCTCCATATGTCTTTAAATGTAAAGTACCTGATTAGTTAGTATGTCCTCTTGTATACAACTGAGTATATAATTTGCTGGCACTCTTCAACTATCAGACCCAGAAGGCTCAGTCTAGCTGATACTGCACTTACATGTGCAAAACAGTTCATAGGAAACTGCAGGTTTTCTAGAGAGGGGAAGAAGGGATATTTTTCAGATATCCATCCATCGATCATCACTTAACACGTGTAGTATTAAATTATAAAATTAATTAAGAAAGCCCATATAAAATGTATTTCATTGTTCTAATAACTCTTAAGTGAGTATTACTGAAATGGAGCATAATATAGTGCCCTTAATATAGGTAGACTAACATTTTATAGTATTCAAATATTAGAGAAAAAATACCTACTTACTAGTAGAATTTGGCCTCTAAGATGTCGTTACTCTCCTGGCTAAAAAAAAGCCATTTTTCAAATAGGAAAGAAATGTATCTGGCTTCAACTTTTCTAGCTACACATAGTTTAATGCCAATATCTGCAGGTTGGAAGCCATTGGAAGCTTACTGAATCTGGCCCATAATTTATCTATCTTTTTTTTCCCAACAGGAATCAATCCAACTACAGCTTTCCAGTTTTCCTAGCTTGCAAGAAGAAGATAAATATAATAAAGATGACTCCGAGAAAGAAAAAGAGAAGGATAAAAATAAAGATAAAAGCAGTGAAAAAAACAAGATCCGAATGTTATCAAAAGGTGAACTTAAAAATATTTAAATTGTTATGATTACTGTTGTAGAAAGGATCATATATTTTTTATAAGCATGTATTTATTTATTTGTGTATAAATATATAAGTAGGAGTGTTTTCATGTTGAGAAAATTCAGAACCTGAAATGTATGTGCATGAGAGCCTTTTTCATACAAACATCAGGCTTTGAGAGTGAAGAAACCTTCCAAACTAAGGTTTGATATTAGATGTTATTAGTTTTCATTAATGTAAAAGCAATCTTTTGAATACTTAACCATATTGGTATAAACACATAAATATATAAATATATATGTGATTATATACTAAGTGTAGGACACTAATATGGTTTTTTTCCGGATTAATAATAATATATTGGCATGTAACTTGTGCAGCGTAGGCAGTAGAGAGTAATCCTCTTTACTATTGTTCCTCTCTCCTGGAGTATTTATCTTAAATGCTGTAAGGAAATACATCCTTGGCATTCAACCTGCATTGCAATTTACTGTTATCACCTAGTAAGACTTATTCAGGAAAGATCTTGTATCTAAATTTCGTATTGTTTTTTAAATCTTTTTATTAATTCATGGAATACAGTTGCAGTGTAATCTCTCAAAATAATCATTGCCTACCTGAGTGTGGATCTGCAGCTGGTGTGAATAGTCATTTGACTCCAATGGAGCTCTCACAGTTCACGCCAACATGACGATCTGTGTTTACTTTTGAGTCAGGAGATAATACTGAAACACTAATTCTGACTACTGTCACGCATCCCTATTACCTGCCCACTCCCAGGTGTCATTGGATTTCAATCTGTTAATGCAAATAGAGTTCCCACTGGCATGATTCCTCATTTACTGTGTACAACATTTATTAAGAGATACAAAGACACATTGATGAATAGAACTTTTTTTTTCCTCATTTTAAAAATTTGTTTTAGTGGTTTAAAGGAAGAACTTGGCAGGGTCTTGAATGGGGTTGAAGGTTTTCCATGTTTTTAAATAACCTGCAGTTTCTTTCAATGTTTAGTTTTGGTGCTGTGTTCTCGGTGGAGTGGTACAGAGGAACCACGAATGTCCACTTGATGCTTCAGAATGTAGATCCCTCTTGGCTGAACTCCAAATGAACACTTTCAGAGCATGTGCTTTCAGATTATTGCTGGAAAAGGGATTTTGATTTATAGCATAGCTTAATTGTAAATGTTGAAATGAAATAAATGAGTGGAGGGTGTTTGTTTTTATTTTTCAGATTGCAGTCAAGAGTATACAGATTCAACAGGCATAGATTTGCATGAGTTTCTCATTAACACATTAAAGAATAACCCCAGGTAGGTATTTCCTGTGTTAGAGCTGGTATTCCTGCATTTATAGGTGGCAGGTTTTGACTTCCCATAACTGTACACTGTGTTTTATTTGTTCTGGAGATGGTTATGAGGCAAAATGTAAAGGAGGTAGGCTGTTAACTGAGAGAAATGCTATAAAAAGTCATCAACTTCGACTCCTTGATCCAGTCACCCATTGCTTAATTTCACTTAACATCTGGTCTTTGTCCTTACCTTCTTGTATACAGCTCTATGTGGTGATTGCAATAATACATTATTATGGTTGGAAATTTCTATATGAATATAAAATAGCTTTCCTTTAACTGTGCTGCACACATAATCCTGTGCACAGTGCCAAATTCTGCTCTCAGTATTCCCATAGTTGTCATTTGAAGCTACAAGCCCATCTCATCATTAAATTTGCCTCTAAACATCTAAGGAAGGATCTGTAACATTTTTATACATTGTGATTTTTATCCTTCATTTCAATTGGATCTGCTAAATAGGTACCATGTAATTCTGCAATTATAGGAGAACTTGCATAACTTCTTGTATAGATGATGGAAGGTCCTTCAATTGCTTTGTCTGTGCAAAATGAGAAAGTTCAGAAGAACTAAGGAGTGATGGGACTCTGTCAACCTTAGAAATGTGTGAAATACACTGGGGAAATTTTTGAATGTTTTTGGCAGGAGAGCATGGAAAAAAAGGAATATCTGGGACCTTCCAGTTGAAAACAGAGCATTTTGACTGAGAAATACTGTGGCATTGCCTCCTGGGAGCCATAGTTCAAGGGCGTTGTTCTCTGTTGTACTCTAACTAGATTATGTCCAGTCTTCTTGCAGCAAATCAATGCCCTGTGGAAGATATGTCTCAGGCAAAATGTTGAAAATTTCTGTGGGTAGCAGCTCTTCTTGTGAAAGAGCTAGGGGTTAGCTGGAAATCTCATTTTCTATCAAAAAAGGGGTGAAAAAGGGCCAAAGCTATCCATAGCAGTCAGATCTTTCTATGCAACACATTGGTTGCAGCCTGTTGTGGCCGGAAGTGCTTTCAGACCATAGCTGAGCTCAGAGAAGAGCAGAACCTGTCGTGTATGTCTGCAAAGCTGCAGCAAAGCAGGCTGCAGTCTTTTCCACATGAGCCAGGGTAACGCACGTTTCATTTTTAATCAAGATGACTGACAGCGCTTGCAAAATAGCCTTTCAAATGCTGATATATTAATTTTTCCTCTAAAATGTCTGTTGATAGTTGACGGTACAATTCCTTGCGTTTCTTTTTGACAGGGACAGAATGATACTCTTGAAAATGGAACAGGAAATTATTGATTTTATTAGTGACAACAAGTAAGTCGAGTTCCACACTTGGTTATTAAGTCATGTGCTTGTGTTGCAATGTGAGTTGTGCGAGGGATTCGCTCATATGGACCGCAGTGCTCCTGAGGACTGTTACTGGCACGCTGCAAGAGCAGGCTTTTATTTCCTGACACGTGGTGGTATTGCTTAAAATACAGTAGATGTAAATGAAAACCTTTTGCTTTTCATTGTGTTATAATTGCACTGGCTCCGCTCATTTAGATCCGAAAATATAATTAAAGCTTTTAGTGTGGAGAATAATCAAGGGTGTTATCTCTTGTCTCTTCCTTTGTGCTATATTATTCTAATGCATTGGAAAATAAAACTGAACTTGGGTGGAGGGATTCTTGTTATCATTAGCTCTTTATACTAAAATGTTTCTGCAGCTTTAAAAATGGAGAGTCAGAATAGCCGCAGAGGAAGAAATTATGCTGACGGGAAATAAGCATTTTGTCAGTAATAGAGAAAAAAGGAGTATTTGCCAAACAAGACCTTTCCAGAATCATCCTGCATCTGACCTCTGGGAGAAAGGCACAAAGCTGTTGCCAATGTCTCAACAAATCTGTAGGTTTGGTTGAGCAGGGAGTGTGTGTGGGGGGTGGGGAGGGTCAGCAGATGAGTTCCTCCCAACACACAGAATACTCACTAGGTACCATGAAGCATGAGCTTTATTTGTCTCAATGTAGCACATGGAAATGCACTTATAGAAATTTTAAAATTAAGTCCCTTTTTTTTTTTCCCTCCAGCCTTCCTGTAGCAAACATTTATATGTAAATGTGCAACGGAGAAATTTTAAGTTAGATTTCTGTCCACTGAATTATCAAATGTATTGCTATTTTCATTTATTTATAGCTCAGAGGGAAATGTAATTATCAATGCTATTTATTCTCTTTTTTCCTAGTAATCACTATAAAAAGTTCCCTCAGATGTCTTCGTATCAGAGGATGCTAGTGCACAGAGTGGCAGCTTACTTTGGAATGGATCACAATGTGGATCAGACTGGAAAATCTGTAATTATCAACAAGACCAGCAATACAAGAATGTAAGTATTGCTACTGTTGTGTAACACTGATGTGTTTTTCCTTGTTCCCTTTCACAGTGCAAGAGCTGGTTTGTACCATGACTGCGTGGTGTAATTTTTTATATATATATTTTAATTTATTTTTTTTAGCAAGAGTGAGTGCTGTTTATTATTTTCTAGGGTGGAAGGGGAGGACAGGGCTCTCATTATGAGTTGATATAAGGATATATAAGGGGAAATCAACCTAGCTGGTCTATTGCAAGAAAGTTATCACAGTATCTTGTAATGTTACTTTTCCTGATTCCTTAGTGCTGCCACTTTGCTATGAAAATAATCTCCTTTATATATCACCTGATACCATAGGGCTATATTCCTAAATAACCCAAACATATTTGGAAGACTGCCTCTTCCCCTGTTCTGGCTATCCCTGCTTCAAGAATCATTTTCTGTCCAGCCCGATTATTTAGGATATGGTTCCCCTCCACCAGCTGTCACCATTCATCCCCTTTTTTTCTTATCCCCTTCTGCTTCCACTATATTTTCTCTTCAAATCTCACTGTGTGACCACAGCGTTTTGGTGAAATTTAAATTCCTTCTGATGGTTCAAATGTATTGGAAAATTCCTGGCAAGTTAACCTTGTGCTGGCATGCATTACGTGCTCCTCCATGAACCTGTATAAAGCCAGCAAAATCTTTGTACAAAGGTCCCTGGCTAATTCAGCAAAGGTGCAGTAATGTGTCCTTGCCCAGTCAGCATCACTTTTTCTACCAAGTGCTTTATGTGTATTAAATGTAGCCTTCCTCTCACTCTCTACCTATAAACTACATCATGAAGAGGAAGTAATTACAACTGAGTAATGAAGTTTTGGTATCTGGTATTGGAACAGGAAAGGCCAGCTTGAAAATTGTGTACTTCCTGTATTCAATTAGTAGGAGAAATGAAAATATTTATTTCATTTATATATCCAGTAGTTAGATGATTTATTTATATCCAGTTGTAGAGAGTATTTTTTTTAATGTTATTAGCTTGTCCTGTAGAAGGGTAGAGGGACTGCCTAATTTTGCAAGATCAAAATCTGAGCCAAACACATTGGTATTTGCTATTTCACTGAGCCCTAAAAATCCTCCATATGTATGAAGTAAATTTAAGATCATGCACAATTTATTTTAGATCCTTTTCATGGGCTATCCTTGAGATACTTGGGATTCTGTAAAACAGCACTGGGGTATTAATGTTTTTAAAGATTCGATTTTCAGAAGTCAAGAGAATTACAGTAGTTCAATAAAACACTCAGGCTGAGAAGGCTTAGCCTCAGGGTCTGGTAATACCTGCCCTTGCACAAGGGCTATATTTGAATAAGAAAAAGCTGGATATGCAGCAAACTGGTGTTCAGTTTTGAGGTGTAAATAAGGAAAAATTTAGTCTCCTCTTAAACAAAACACATTCAGTCCTATTTGAATGCTTTTTAGGCATTCCTCTCTCTTTACAGTTCTCCCTTTTCAGTTCACATCTGTGTCACTGCTGTAGCATACCAGCTGCTACAGATCTTTCCTCACAGCATTGCCTTCTGCTGGTTGACTTGACAATAGAATACTATCACATTAATATCTGAAAATGCCTTGCTCTGTTGTGTGACCCATTATCTCAGAGATAGGCAGCACGGGAAGTGCTGTTGGAAATGCTTGCACAGCGCTTCTGGAGAGGACACTGAAGCCTTCTTCAACAGTCAAAGCTTTATCCGCGTGCTCTGGTGAAACTGTGGCTTCATACATGGTGGGAGTGAGCAAGCAAGCCTATTTGCCAGGCATGAACTGGCATCCTTGTGGGCAAGCTCACCGGGCCGGATGTTGCAGGTGTATAACGGATCGAATGGCCCTTTCAGCTGCAGTCTTGCAAACTGAAGGTGAGGCCAGAAAAATTGGTTCTGATACCATTCCTGTCTAGATCTTCCAGAAATAAACACAGGGCTTTGCCCCTCTGTTGACTGTGAGTACAGCTGTTTTGTAAGCATCACAGAAGCTGCAGTTTTCTTCCCTCTTCAGTGATTTGGTGGTAGGTAACTGGATTATGTGAAGCTCATAATGCCTTGTGGTGCTTCCAGTGTGTTATTTACATTATTTTGATATTGCCATAAAATAAAGCTTTGTAGAAGTGGCTCTTTCTTTTCATAACTGGAGGAGATGGCATGTTTTTTTTTTTAAATGTCCCTGACTCTGACAGAAAATAGCTTGTTATTATCTAGCATGAATAAGGGCTGATGAGATTTTATTATCCGCAGCAAATATTGTGTAAGTTCCACATCTGAAAGAGTCTGATGTGATTTCATGTGTTCTGCATTTCACTACTCTCAGAGGAGACAGTTTTGTGTGGTTCAGAATCAACACCAAATACTGGGAATGTGTTGACTCTATTAATTACTACTTGGACAGTATCCAGAATACTGAAGAATCTGAAGAGTGTCTGAAACACTGTTCACCGTGGTTATGCTGTGCTATAAGCCTGAGCCTTGATAGCTTTATATGAATTTATGGAGAGGCCTCACAGACAGATGTTCTGAAGATTTGCATTTTGGCAATAAATTATCTCTTTATGGCATATGGTTTTTTAAGTACTTTAGCAACATACTGTGGAGAGGGAAGAATGGTCCTGCATACTCAAGAATTCGTAAATTCTGTACTGTCTGTGACTTCTGTGGTCGTGTGCCTGTTTGAGAAGAACATATGACTCTGCAGATTTGCCACGTGGGCTTGAATAATAAGCACCTTGTGGCATACTGCTTTGGCTGAGTGAGGGTTCCTGTCACGTCTCTGCTTAGGCTTGCGGGTGATTGGTTCTTCCCTGGCTCCAGGCAGTGAGGTGCGTTTATTCTGTTCAGCAGAGACCTCCTGTGCTCACTGCCTGCAGGTGCTCAGAGGTACAAGTGTCAAAAGAGTTAATGGTTTTGGGATGAAAAGGCTGTTTGGAAAAATCTGGTACCAATGCTCCCTTAGAGGTGCTGTGGTACAATTTGTCATATGGGGGACTGGGGTGTGAATGGACCAGATGGGGGCATTTCAGTCCTTTCATCAAATGGCTGTCTTAGGGCAATGTGTATCCACTTCTATGTACCTGTGCCTGTAGAGTACCTACTTTATGGAGGTTTGGGATTTGAGAAAGTGCTTATTGAAGAGGTTGCAGCTGGAAGGAGGACTGTGACTTCTCTGGTCATTCTCTGTGCTGCTTTACAGAGAGGAGAAAAATGATGGTAAAAATTCATTAGGACTTAAGTCTCTGGGAGTGCAATACTGTAGCTTTCATGAACTCTCAGTGAGATCTCTCTTAAAAATACAGTCAAACAATAATGGCAATTTAGCAGTTGCAAAAGTATTTATAATGAAGAGTTTAATCTAAAGTGCCTTTTTTTTGTTAATTTTATTGGAATGTGAACATGTCATACTGTCTTGAAGCTTTTTTTATGAAATGAAATTTTAAAAGACGGTGATGACCTCAACTACCAAAGTGGTTTTTGACCTTAATCAAGTTAAGTCTCTGTACTCTAGCACTTATTACAGGATAGTGGATTTTAAAAACAAATTATCTTTTCATATAATTTTTGAAATTTAAAGTAGGTTAAAAAAAAAAGAGAATGACTTAAAAAAAAATATATAATTTTTCATGGTCTCATGTCTTATGAAGTCGTGCCTAACTAAATTATCCCATTTTTGAAATCTTAATCTCAGCACTATACATGAAAAAAATTGATCAGAAAATGGAGGAAATTTTGTTGTTATTGTTTTGTTTTTATAGTTAAAGAACTCAAATACTACTTAAAATGAGACATCTGCTTTGTTCAGATGATGCTCTTGTGTCACTGTTCTAATGTATATCTGTCTGTCATCTGTATCTGCCTGTCATCTTTCTAAAGATATACAGAAATGTAAGGGGAACTTAAGACAGTGAAATATGATATAAAGAGAAGTTTGGAATTGAGGCGATGTGTTAGACAGGGCATCCCTATTTGGAGCCCAAAAATGTGTGTGTGACACCTTCTATTCTGTATATTCTTCATAATTCCTATCAAGCAACTGGAAGTACTTCATGTTTTTTTGCAGAACTGTTCATATTGTTAGATGTATCAGTTCAATCAGATTCATTCATTTTATTATCTCTAGATAGGTGGAGAAATGTAGGGGAAGTGCATTTGGTGTACTTGGTAAATGAAAAGGATTTTCATTTGGTTGAGATCATCAGCCATGTGACAAGCAAGTCTGTACCACAGCCCACACATGCATTCATGTACTTTTTTATATAAGTGTGAGTGGCAGGGCTCATCAGAATGAGCAGGTGGGATGCTTATGATATATATGCTGTGTTTAGACATTTTCATATGTTCTGAGGGTGTAACATACCTATTATGAACTTTATACCAATTCTCACGTTCTCAATTCTAATTTTTTTCCTCAAGAACATTGTGAGTTATAATCCTTGTGATACTTTGTTTTCTTCCTACTCTCTTAACATAATGTTGGCCCTGTTGGAAGGTGTTTTAGTGTCTTTGAGGTGCATAAAAAACTTCAGGCAATGCTAAGCTGTTATGTGTATTACAGGGGTTCCTTATGATCTAGAGATGAACTGTATCAGCAGAAGGAGACATAATGTACAGGTTGTATTTTGAATAACCTACAAGGCCTTCTTGTTTGACACATAATCTGTATTATTCTACCTCCTTTGTATAAGGGTGGTTTGAAGCACAAGCAAAGAAGAAAAGTTCTCTTTGGGTTTCTGTTGTGTATACACTGACTGATCTTGCTATAGATAACACTTATGCTAGTAGAGGTGCACTGTGACAATTTCACCAACTTAAGAATCTGAACTTTGGTACAGGATCCTACAGACATGTCAATAAAATGGCATTCACTGAACGTGGCAATTTCAATGAGGAATAGTTTGTAGAATTTTTTTTTTACCCTAGGCCTGAAGTGCCAAGAAGACTTCCTTAAGATGCCAAATGTTACAGCCTTTGGAGCATGCAGAAAAGTAT